GTGTACAACCAATAAAACATGCGTTGGCCCCACCGCTTCCCGATGGCCAGGAATCCAGCCTTTCTGCTAAAGGATAGGCGGATTCCACTAAGTTTTGGAGGAGTTACTCCAGGAATCTTATATCTCCTACTGAAAATTACTAGCCCTGTCTTTTGAGGGTTAATAGATAGCCCACAGCTAGTGGCCCAGTTCGAAACGAGGCTAGGGGCCCTCTGTATCAGCCCATTTAGTGCGCTGTGGTGTTTTCCAGATAAGTCCACTGCCACGTCATCTGCGTAGGCGACCACCTTATAGGCCTCCCCCTCCAGGAGTACCAGTAACCGATTGATTATCAGGTTTCAGAGAAGAGAAGCACACTCCCCTGCGGGGGCGCCTTCCAACAGAGCGCTCAATGCATGACCCGACAACGCATGTTGTGCCGGAGACCCCCACCTCTGGTTAAGGTTGCTCGTTATGTAAGCGTCTATCAATTTTTCCATTATTTTTAGTGGAAACAATGTTCCTAGTTTTAGGAATAAATACCACCCTGGCAACATTACGCGATTTTGGAATGTGCGCTAGGTCTATGCAGCATTCGTAGATAATTTTAATCTAGGGTAGGATAACCTCCGGTGCATTTTGTAGTCCCGCAGGCACTATATCGTCCAAGCCCGCCGCTTTGAAAGGCTGAAAGCTGCGGATAGCCCAAAGAATTCCTCTTTCGGTGACCACTTCTGAGGAACAAGATTCACCACCGTAGACATTCGAAGTAGACTCCCCCGAGGATTCTGGGAAGTGCCCATCCACAAGCAGCCCCAAAGGCTCCTAAGTCTAGATGCCTCAGCAACCCCGCCAATCCTTCCACAAAACTCCCTCCATGAGGATCGCTGCGCCCTCCTCAGCTGACACTTGTATTTTCTGAGGTCGTCCTTGCATGCGTTCTAATCAGATGATGCCCTATTGAACTTTGCTCTGTTGAATTGACTTCTGCATTTTTTCCGAAGAGCATTCAACTGATTGGATCACATAGCGGACAAGCTACCCTAGAGGCGCCATTTATGGCCCCGGTAAGTATGTAGACTATACTATCCAGGCCCCAACTCGTCTTAGGACGAGGGGGGACCCCACATCCCAAGAGATCGCTTAGCGAGTCTCTGAACTTTGACCAATCAGTTCTTTTGCGATTTCTGAAGGGCAAGGGAGCATTCCGGTTGGTTACCAACTCGAATTCTATATAACGGTGGTCAGAAAAGTAATGATCTTTTGACACTTTCCAATCTATCTAGTTACATCTATAACCTCTTGTCGATTTTTAGTAATAAAAGTGGGCTCTGAGCCTCTATTACATAATGTGAGGTTAGTGCTTAAAATAAATGCTAAAAGTGACGCACCCCTCATGCTAGTGTCTGAGGTTCCCCTGATTACATGTTCGCTCTCAATATGCTTGATTAGCATCGCGCCCAATAACAAGGCCGGTTCGGAAACACTTGGCCTTCTCCACCATGTCCTTCAAATTCTCGGGCAGTAGCTCCCCTTGGAAGTCGAAGGGCAAGTATACTTACGCCCACCAAGAGATACTGCCAACAGTTTCAAAACTGACTACAGTCAAGTCTTCATCGCTGTAAAGAGGTAATAGAAAAGCATTTAAGTTACTTTTAATAAGTATGCATGATCTTACTTTCGAGCTGCAGATCTTTCCCCCTGCTATCCAGGGCTCCTGGACCAGGACTTTATCTTCTCCGCCCCTTTGTAAGCGCAGCCGAAGCTGCCTTAGAGTGGTGGAGGTTGATCTGAATCACATGAAACATTACTACTTTCGTTAACCTCCAATGTCAGCGTCTTATCTGCATCCTTGTCTAGGTCCAAGTTCGACAAGATGAGAGTCCAAGCTTCTGATGAGAGCGGGAACTGACGAGACAACCTCTCCGGAGCCCTGTTGGCGACGTCGACGACCGATGACGCGTCGGTCACTATGCTTCTAGGTCTCCTCCACCTTCGAGTCTTTTATACACTTTAAGGGTTATGAAGGAGAACCCATAATTAAAGACAAATCCCGGACTCTCCAGAGGTGCCAGAGATCCCCTATTTATTATTATTAGGGAGTGCCGATAGTCACCCTTTTTCTCTTCCAATTTTGCCACCCGCCAGTTGGCTATTGGCAAGTTGGGATTGCCCAATCTGATCATCTCCAGGATGGTAATCTGGAATCCAAGCTCGAGCCCGCGGCCTGCTTGGGATTTGGTTTTTCGCAACGACCGCAAAATTTACATAAGTACCTGTCATTTCACGATCGTAATTTTTGACTCATTTGCTAAATTACTATTTATTTCAAAAATTAAAAAAAAATTCAAATCCGGTCATAAAAATGTATGATTTTTTTTTCCAAATCATTTTAATTATTTTTTTATTTAGGTAATTGATGTATAAAGCTTTTAAAATTTTTTTCAAATAATAGAGATAAAATTTTGAAGAACATATATAAAATTTTGAAAAATAATATTTAATTGTATTTTAAATATTGTTTTCTAATCCCCTCTTCATTTTTTTTCTGTGTTATGTATTTTTATCAATATTATAATAATTATTCTTTCATTAATTATATTTTCAATGAAACACTACAATCACCTCTCATATATTGAATTAACTTCCCCCATGAGAAAAAGCTCTTTATTTAAAAATAATGAAGTTTTTTCAGTACCATATAAAATATTGAAGGCGCAGGTTGTACTTGCAGTTTTTCCGCTTCTTTGCATGTATTTTTTAAATAATTTTCAATGAAAATATTATTATAAATTTAATTAAATTATTATTATATATTTGATTGATTATGAAATAAAACTACGGAATGTTACCTGCTTTACAATAAGTATAAATTTATTTTGTTATTTATTCTCAAAAAATAGCCACTTTGATTTTAAGAAAAACTATATAAAACAAGGTCATGTTTTCATGTTTCTCTGCTAGCATTGGTGTGTGTTAGATGTAAAGACATTATGAGTTACACATTATTTTAATAGAAAACACTATTCGTTCAATTGGTAAACATAAATTTGCCTTACCGTTTGTAACGCTAAGAAATAATGGTCTCAGATATGGACTCAAGTGTATGTTTTTGATCAGCGTCAAATTCTGAGTTGATTTAGCTTTGTGTGTCTTAGCGATAACTCAAAAGCCAATTGAGCTAAGTCCACCAAATTTTCACAAATGATTTATTGGAGTAAGTGCCACAACCCTATTGAAATTGGACATGATCGGGGTACTGGTAAAATTTATTTGACTATATCTTAGAAACTATGAAAGTTGTGGTATTGAAATTTCGTACAAGTAAATATATTAGCAGCAAATGTAGTTGAAATTGCTGGGCTTTTTCTGGTAGCAGCCATACAACTCCAAAAGTTATTTGGCATTATCTTAGAAATTATTGGAACTATAATATAAATCTCGTTAATACGAGTGTATTATTAGGGCTGTAAGCTGTTATGCGTGATAAAAATCATTGAAATTTCTTGACTCCTTGTGGTAGCAGCCATACAACTTCAATAATAGATTGGTCATATCTTAGATATGATTGAGAAAATATTGAAAATACAGTACTGAAATTTTGCATAAATTGATATGGTAATACGGCAGCTTAAAGTCATAGTCTGTCCCATCATCAGCTGTGGCATATTTATTCGCACATAGGATAACAAATTCGTACGGACGTCACAGAGTTGACACGGTCAACTCTATTTTTTTTCGTTTTTAATAATTCATTTTTAGTTTTGCCAAATTTTTGTGAAAATCTTTTGTTTAAAGACAATGTCATATACATAATATAATAATAAAGACGTGCTAAAATTGAAAAAAGTGCCGCGTAAAATTTCCACAAAAGAAAAATGTTTTATAATATATGGATTCAAGTTCGGCATCACATGCACTGAATGTTTGTGCTTTTGAAGCATATATAATTAAAAAAGCTTTTGAGAAACCAAGAAAGCTCTTATAGTTGGGTCAGTAACTCTTTCAGCTCTAGGTACCCCACTGTTTAAAAGTCAGAAGAGTTTCTTTTTGTAGGTTGTTCATCTGTTGTCAATAGTTTCTGATATACATACATATAAAATTTTGAAAAATTCAAAATTAACATTATTTCTGCTTTTTATTTTTTTTGTATTGTTTTTTTTTGTTGTTGTTTTATTAAAATAAACCATTGCAAGTTGTGTGACGCCATTACAAGCATATTGACTTTTCTATTGTAAGTTATTGTTGTGCGGAAAATTAATAATTGGAGTTTGAAATTGATGTCATCTTTAAATATGAGCTGTATGTAACTAGTAATATTCTTATTATCAACAATATATGTCAGACATTATGTAGCCATTTACATAGTACATATTAAGTCGCTCTTGTTTTAGAAACACTAGCGGAAAAAATTATGCTCAGAAATTTTCTACTTCAAATGTAAAAAACTTCACCGTAAATGTATCAAACAAGTTGAACTTAAATCAATGTACCTCACACATTTCTAAAATATCAAAATTTTATAAACGTATTTAAATCTGGATACATATTTAGGTTTCATCCAAATTTAACATATTTAAATCTGGATATATCTTCTACATTTTCTCGTATGTCTCAAAATTTATAATTTTCTAAACAAATCTTGCCGCTCCAATAGTAATAGGCCATCAAAATCCAAAAAATTTCATTTTTTCACAATTTATTCTGTTTAAGCCATAATAATTTGCATTTTCCATATTCCTAAAAAATTAATTAGTTCTTTTAATTTAAACAGCATATTGAATTGACGTTAACCATTATCTTATGTTCGTTTTTTTAATTTTGATGCTAATTTTTATTTAGACAGTAATTTATAGGAATCTAAAATATTAGCAACTTTTAAGTTGTTGTATCTTCACTTCCAAGTTGTTGTATCTGGAAATTTGCAAACTATAAGGGTGAGTGTCTTTCAATGGAATAATATAATAATTGCATTAAAAACCATATGCGAATATTAAAATTAATTCATGAGTTTTATTTACTAACGGAATTTGCAAACAACCAATTCGTATAATAATTAATTTGTCGAACTGCCAAATAGAAATTCGATATTTTAAACAATTACTAACACTTACGTCGATTTTGGTTGTAATTTTTCACTGTTCTTGTAAGTAATACAATTATCCTTTTTTAAAAAACTGTTGTTATTTAATAATGCAGTTAATGTCGCATGAGATGAACTAAGAGTACTTTTGTCTTTCGATTTGAAAACCGAGGTAAGTACAGGATTGGATTGCTTCGTTGCTACAAATAACCGGTTTTTTTCTTCAAAATTGCTTATTTCACTAGCTGTTGATGAAATGGCTGAAGAATCTGCCTGTAAAGGTTGAATGTCCAAAATCAAATTGTCCTCTTCTTCGGCCCTTTGTTCAGTTTGGGTTCTCTGATTTGTTTGCAGCAAAGCATTACGTAATTGGCTGCATCTATTTGTTTTTGAATTTATCAAAGTTACAGATAAATTCGAGGACTCATTTATTGCTCTATTATTGAGCATATTTGATGTGTATGAATTTGTGATTAGCCCACGGCTTTTAATATTTAAATCAATGAAAAATGTTTTCATTTTTTGAATGGTAACATTAGATATTGTAAAAGGCTGTAAATGCTGCAAATTAAAATTTTCACGGTTTTTATATAAACTTGATCTTCCCAATTTCAAAACCTCTTCATATACAAGTAATAAAAATCGAGAGGTTCTATTTTGTGCTGGTATAATTTTTTGTTGCACTAGCCAGTCACGGTCTTGACTATCTGGTAAGTAGCCTGCAAAAATTTAAAATATTTCAAAGTTTTTTTGTGGGAATTCATGCAAATACTATTACATATAGTGCAATCTACACATAGGGTATCCATGCAAAATTTATTTGTATGTGTAATTTACGCTTATGTTTTGTACCAATGAAATTTGAAATAATTTAAAAAGTTTTAGCTATATATAAAACATGAAAAATAAAAAGTGAAAATTATGAAAATAGTGAAGCAATTCAAGCACACTTTTACGCATAGCAAATACTTAATGAAAATGTAAAAAGAAAATTTACAATGTTCTTTTATACCCCTTAAGGAGTATCCGTAAACTTAAAAGCAATCCATATTTAGAAATTAATTTAATAGACATCTGAATCCTTAAAAAGGAGTTCAAAAGTTGTAGATCTCGGCAATAGCATTTCAATAATCCACATGACTACATTTAGATGTATGACTATAATGGCAAACTTTTAAAAAGAAAAAGGTACTCCGATTCGAAAGGGTTAGTACTACCAATTTGTTTTAAATCTATAGCCTTTCTAGAATGAACGCAAATGTATAAATAGGATATGACCCGCAGACATTGAAGGATTTTTATAAAAGCATTAAAAAGCACCGTATTTGGTTTGGTTCACATTTTTTCCTAATAAATTTTGGCATAAATTTCGTTTGAACTCCATTTAATGCATGAATAGTACAACACTCTATAATTCAACAAATTTGTGAGAGTACTGTAACAAAGTGGAGATAGACAATAATGTATTACTTTACTTTATCGCGTTCAATATAGCCTGTGGTGGATTTAAAAACTTTTTTGCCAATGATCAAAATTTTTTCAATTTTTAAGCTATGTATATGTTTCTTAAGCCAAATTAAAATTACAATTATTGGGCTATTGCACTATGAAATAGGAATCAATAACATGTTCTATGTTTTTTGTTTAGAAACCTATTTTTCCTAGTGAAAATCTTTTCACGTCATACAATGAAATTTTTGGTTTTTCTTTGAAACATCAAAATTTCCAAAACTAGAAAATTACTGCATAACGTACGTATTAGTTCAGGGTATTTGCTAGCCAATCTTTCACGTCCATCCGGATTGAAACCAAAAGCTTGATTAGCCTGAACGTCTAGCACAAAATAAGTTTCCGTTGATATATTTGCTGTATGCCAGTATATTTGACGACGTTGTGTTGTCAGCTTTTGAGATATGTTATTCCCTGAAGAAAGTGTATTTTTTTGCATTACTACCGACTTTTTAACAGGTGAAGGTGAATCATCTGACACAGTTCCTAAAGAACGTTTAAGAGCTCCAGCTTTTTGTAAACTATTTTTTGTCTGAATTTCCATTTCATTTTTGGTAGCGCCTGTAAATTTGTCCTTAGTTGCAGATTGATTTTCTTTAATATCATGTGTATTTAGTAATAAAAAATTATCCGAGTTATCTGCAATTAAGTTGTATTGAAATTTTGAATTCTCAATCAAAGCACATTTCATAACTCCTAGCTGAAAATATATAACTTTTAAACGTAAAAAATATAAATTGTTATTAGATAAATTTTCTTACTACTTCTTCGTTATCATAGCCCGTTTTCAAATTTGCTTTTAATTTTTCAAATGCTGGTCGAATATAAAGCTAAAACAATAACAATTATCTAAATATTAGAAAAAAAATAAAAAATAGCAGCAACTAAAAAAAAAGCGTTAATAACGAAATTTTCCATTATATGATTTTCAGTAAAGCAACCTATGTAAAACTGCTTCAAGTAATTTGATATCACACTAAACAAGATTTGCATGCTTACTTGCATGCAAACGAATGTTTCTGTTTCATCATATGCAAATATTATATTTTTAAAGATAAACCTTTTTGTTATATGATCTAATTTTGTTTATAAAACTTTTTTGGAAAGAACCTTCGTCTTTAAAATCCTTTAAGGGTTAACCCCTTTGCATTTGGTTATAAACTTGTATGACTACAAATTTGTCAACCGCTGAATTTATCTTTATACGATTTATAATTTATTTCAATATTTGCTTCAATTTGATAACGAAGTCATTATGGAATTATGTTTACATATGACATATTACTAATTCTACACAACTTAATCGTCGTTGGTTCATCTCTATATAGCACTTTTACATTAAATTAATACATTTTTATATGAAAATAAACTATTTTCAATTATAAGTAATTTTTTTCATTTGAAAGATATCCTTTTTCTTTTTTTAATTTAATTTTTTTTAATTAAATTTTTCCTTTTTAGCACTTTTCCAAAAAAAATTGTAAAAATATACGAATTAGTTTCACTCTGTCCGTCCGTGGGTATGTTTACAAAACTTCTATGCCTTTGAATATTTTGAAAGCGAGAATTTCATGCGTACGTAGATTTTTACTAAGACTTATTTTTGCAGACAAAAATTTTCACCTATCTCCCGCCCTTTAAGAGCTACAGCCCCCTAAAAACCTAAAAAAGTAATTTTTCAACTATTTATTGCAACGAAACCATAAGCATTTTTTAAAAATTGTAAACGCTGAAAAATAATGGTTAAATTTCAAATATGTACCATATTTGAGCTTTAAAAAAACAAAATGGCCGTTAAAATTTACACTTATCTAAAATCCGTTTTTCCGAATTTTTAATATCGTTTTTCTTCTAGATCTAGGAGTCTGAAATTTAGCAGCTTTTATACACTAAAAAATAGTTAATTTTACTGAAGAAATTTTTTTCCCACCTCCACCTACTCTCAAGTTATTGCCTCTAGAAATTTGTAAAATTCTAATTTTTTTCACCTTAAACTGTATGCTTTTCCTAATTTCTATAAATGCAGAAAGGTAACGGTAAATGCGGTGTATATTGTTGGGCACGTGTGCCTTTGGTTCGCCAATATAATTATTTTTCTAGCTTACGTAATTAACCCTTAAATTCGAGCGTTTTGCCTCTTTCAATGTTTTTTTGTTTTATTTCAAAAAATGCATACAGTGCTCGCCCTAAATATATATAACTTTTAATATAAAAGTATAATTTATAATTTATATAATTTATATTACATATATTATTATACTATATTTTTAAAAGCGGTATTTTCACTTGTTGAAGGGTAAAGTGCTAAATCGCAAACCATTGGTTTGACCCAACTTTATTATAATCCTAAGAAGCAAAATCCTATATTAAAGTCCTAAGAAGCAAAAATCGAAGATTCGAAGATATAGTCAAGTGGGGTACTATTGAAAATATCTCGAAATTTTCTCTGGACAGTAAATGATAGATAAGTGACAGGAAACGAGGAGCATGAAAATTTTTCAATTCGGCGTTCAGGAGAAATGTCGAGGTCATGAAATTGAAGTGAAAATAAGCGAAGTAGATTTGGAAGAAACCTGTTTATTTGGAAGGAACCTGAAGTACAAATGTATAAAAAAATTTTAACTTCCTTCTTTGAGTGACACTTTGCGTAATCGACCCAGGAAGAAACCTTAAGCTCAAACATGTGAAATTTTTTGAAATCGGCCTTTAAGCAGGATTTTGAAACTACCCTTTTCGAAGATGACGTCTTTTCAAAAAGAGATTCCTTGAAGTCCTGAGCAAGAATATATATCTACAGCCTACTTGTGTCTATTAAAGCTTAATAAAAACAAATAGTCTTTTAATAAGATTACATTATAAAATTCAAATATTTTTTTACAAAAAAATCGAAAATAAATTTAAATTATATAAAACAAAAAAATTTTATTGAATTTTCATTTAAAATTGATTTTTAAATGGTTTCCAAACCATGTGTGTAAAAGGGCAGCCGAAAAGGATAATTTGTCAAAGTGTACAAAATACGCCAATAAGACAAAAGGTCAACAACGCCTACGTTTTGATAAAGACAAAGAAAGAAACGGAAAAGCTCGCGCCATTGAATCTCAAGCAAAGAAATTATTGCGCCTCACAGAACAAAAGAAGAAACAACGTAAACTTCATAGTGATATAATTTGCGATATTTGTACAAAGCGTTGCTATCCAAATTAGGTAGCAAAATTTTATCAGTCGCTTCGAAATTATATTTCCCTTTGAAGCTTGCGAATAAAACTGAATTAATTGTCTGTCCTAGATACAATACTTATCTTGTGAATAACAGAAACACTGAAGCTCTTTCAAAAGCTTTTCCCTTCAAAATTGCCAAATGATTCTCTTTAAAATTGTCAAATTTTATGGTCAACTTGGTCAGTATGACTTTAGAGATAATGCATCTTTTTTTGCACTTGACTCATATTCTTGCAAACATAAAGCTGCTAAAAATATGGGAATCAGTATAAAAATATACTGATTCTCATATTTTTATATTCTTTTCCATTATATTATATAAATATAAAAAAATATTATATAAATATAAAAACATTAATAATTTATATAAATAAATGCCATAACTATTGAAGAATTACTTTACATTTGTAGACGTTATTTACCTTCACGTAATGCACATTTTTCTGTCCATTATATTAATATGACTGCTACTCGCTGTAGTGTTGAAATGAACTTAGATTATTATGTATGAACCAGATGAGATTAGCAAAAATCGAAAACCATTAGGTTATTATGCACCATATGTAAGGAATCAAGTAATACCAACTGCACTTGTGCCTCTCCAAACAAACACTTATGCATACAATTGATGCTAAAGAACTCGAAGTTTAGATGAATTTGAGGTAAGTTATAATATTAATGAAAGGATTCGTAAAACAAAAGGCAATACAGTTAATGCCTATTATGAGAAAAGAGCTGAGGAATTTGCATGGTGTCATTTATTTCCTTATGAAAGTAATGATTTTAATGAAGCACGAGTTTCAAAAATTACTTTTACTTCAGACTATTATGTATGTACGAATATGATAGAATGAAGTCAACAATTGTAGCTTATGTTAGGTCGGTCAGAGCAAAGGATGGAATTGTTGATGATCTAAGTCTGCATATGAGAAATTTGAGAGGTTCAGCTACTTATTGGCCTAAAGTGCACAGTGAATTAATTACACAAATTCGTTGTTTAGATCTTTAATCTTATGATCTTTATGATCTTTTTCATAATATTAGAAGAAATTCTCTCTTCTGATTAGAAGAAATATTCGTTTGATTTGAGCATCTAATATAAATAGTCTTATCCAGACTAGGCTAGAAAAAAATTAGTTTTTTCTCTTTAATCCGCCAGAAAAACTTAGTTTTTTATGAAAATTTTTGTTAATCTATATTAGCAAAATCTATAATAAATTTTATTATAAAAAGTGCAACTAAATTTTTTAAATATAATAAAAATTTTTGTTAATCGTAATTAACATTTGTAAATTTTCATCACTACAAAAAGATTTCTTAGCAGATTTTCAGCAAACGTTTCTCAAAAAATTTTATATGCTATATGTTATAGTTAATTTAAAATACTAATTAAATTATTTGAAAATGTATTTTAAGACCCTTATTTAGGGGACGTTTGCTATCATATTTTGATTACCGATTACGCTCAGAAGAAGTTAAATCAAAGCTTTGATCTAGGTAAATTATTTTTCATGAAAATTTACTTACCTCTAAAATTTCATCCCACTATCTTTAAATTTTGTAAACGAACTCAAAAAAGGATTAACTCAAACGAATTCTTTTAATATAGGCCTTTTTTAATTATATTTAATTTAAATAAATCTACATGTATATTATATTGGTATCATTTTTTTTTTAAATATCTTCTTATTTAAAATATAGTTGCACTTTCTGCAATAAGATTAATTTAAAAAAGAAAAGGTTTGCTTTTAAAATAAAAAAAAGTTACTTATTAAAAATAAAATAGTTTATTTTAATATTGAAGTAGATTATCTATATCGCAATGATATGGCAATGAAAATATTTCGTGACTCCAGAATTAGGGTAATACTATATGGCTATACAGTTCAGCAATTACAGCTGATAAGCTCAACTTTCTATTCAATTATGTTTAAATAAAATATTACATTACAATTCATTTCTTTCTTAAGGTAAATCTACTACAATACAGTACATACGCATTAGTTGAAGATCTTTACTAGCCAAACTCTCGCATCCATCTGGATAGAAACCAAAAGCTCGGTTAGGCTTAGCGTCTAGTAAATAGTAAGTTATTTGGCTTTATAGTTCTTTCATGATATAAGAAATAAACGCTTGGTTAGATAGATGATGTGAATACATCTTAAATTTATATGATTATTTATTTGAATGCTGTTGAAAAATAAACTTATTAGAAAATTTTTGGGAATTTTTTTCCTCTCCTTAATAAACAACAATACAGATTTGTCTATAACGTACCTAAGTTAAAGCAATACGAATGAAAGGTATAAAAAACATCGATTGTTAATTCGACCTTAATTGAACTTAATTAAATTTCTTGACTTTGTAAACGTTAAATTTGCGTATTTTACGGAAAAAAGCAGCTTCTTTGCATGTTTCTAAAATTTAAACCAGATAAAATTTGAAAGTCTTAAATTTAATTTATACACAAAATTTTTCAATCTCTGCAGTTCCAACTTTAAAAACTATGCTATTAAAACTATGTAACACCCCGTAATCAAAATTTGCTAAATTACAACCCAATCAGTTTAATTCGGCTATTGAATTTCTATATAATTGAATAAACAACCTTAAGAAGAACTTCATCATTTCTAACAACTAGGATATTTCACCAATATAAGAATCAAATATGTACATATGTATTTTAAATTGAAATCTTACATTTAAATATTTTGCAACAATTACATCTATTTCTTTGTCAAAAGCATTTTGAATATTCATCCGTAAAAGTTCAAGAGCTCTGAAAGCAAAATCATTATTATTGGAAGTTTTTGTGCCTAAAGTATCATCAAATGTTAAATAGCGCTTCTTTAATACTTTTAGAACGTCATTCGCCATTTCCATCGTTGTAATGAAATTCTACAATAACAAAAGGAAATAGAAAATTATCAGAACAAAAGGAATTTTAGAAAATTATCAGAAGAAAGATGCATAGATAAGTCCAACCTCATCTGGCTGATAGGAAGCTGATGTCCCAGTATTTACACCTTTTTGATTTTGATTTGCACTATGTGCATCTTCGGTAGTGGAATCATGGGCTCGCCCGCAAGATTCTCCATTATTCTCTCCATAATTATTGGCATGATAATCATACAAAGTTTTAGAATTTCTTTGAATTACCATATTAATGCACATAAAATTAATATTACAACAATTTATTTTGCGAAAGTTTTTTCAGAGCTGTGTATTTTTCTGACAATATTTAATTTTCATCTCCTTTTGTGTATGTATATTATAATTAAAAGACTTGCGCTCTGAATTCTCTTACATGGCATGTTAAAAATGAACATTAATGCTTAATAATATTGCAATTGAATTTGAATTTAACTTAAATAGCAAACAATTAAATCTTTTGTTTATAAAGCATATCATAATGTCTTTGTTTTTTTCTCCTTTTTCAAAAATTTCTAAAGATTCCTTGTTACCGACCGTATTATGTAAACAATAGGTAGGTTATGTGATGGCAACAAATTTTGCATATCGAGTTTTCGGTAGGAACGTACTTCTCCTTAGCATGGAAGTGTAAATAAACTATTTTTAGCAACCTGTCGGTCTGTCGGTCTGTGTGTGCACGCGTGTATCTCAAGTTCGGCTGAACCGATTTTGATGAAATTTTATATGTAAGTTTATTTCCACCATGGCACGGATCGATCAACTTTTGGTATATATCAGGCCTCGGGAACTGCACTTTTTAGCGGGCCTGTTTTACATTTTTGAGCATATTGAAGAACATATTCAACCGATTTACTTGAAATTTCATATATAAGTTTTGCTCTACCGGCGATGAAACCTCCTAGCTTTTGGAAGAAATCAGGCCTCAGTAACTGGACGTTTACTACGGGCCAAATATACATTTTTGTGTATATAAAGAGAAATAATCAACCGATTTCATTGAAATTTAATATATAAATTCCTCGTATGAAAACTATGAACATATAAATTTTTTGGAAAGATCAGGACTCGAAAACTGATTTGCGGGCCGATTTTACATTTTTCACCATTTTGAAGAAAATATTCAACCGATTTACTTGAAATTTCATATATGAGCTTTGTTTGACCGTCCGTGAAAATTCCTAGCTTTTGAAACAAATCAGGCATCGGCAACTGGACGTTTACTACGGGCCAAATATACATTTTTGTGTATATAAAGAGAAATAATCAACCGATTTCATTGAAATTTAATACTTGAGCTCCTCGTATTAAAACAATGAACATGTAAATTTTTTGGAGATATCAGGCATCGGCAACTAAAGGTTTACTACGGGCCAATTATACCCTTTTGTGTATATAAAGAGAAATAATCAACCGATTTCATTGAAATTTAATATTTGAATTCCTTGTATTAAAACAATGAACATGTAAATTTTTTGGAAAGATCAGGGCTCGAAAACTGATCTGCGGGCCGATTTTACATTTTTCACCATATCTACGGAACGAATTGATGGAGTTTCTTGAAATTTGATATTTGAGTTCTGGTTGTTACCGAAACTAACTGGCGAGCATTTCAGGGAAGTCGGGTAGCACAAAGAGAAACTCTACTAAGAGCCAAATTTACATTTTTCTAGGTATGTTAACTATAAGCTTACTAATGTCCTAAAAATTGGAAAGAAGAATTTAACAGACATTTTTATAATATTCTGTAACACTTTCACTTAACTAGACAATACACATTGCGGTCGGTTTTGTGCTGACCACATCAGATTTTTTTTTTCTTATTTTTATTGAAACTTCTCTTTTTATATACACACATACATATGTATATATTTTAATTTAGACTACAATATATGTTTGTATTTATATAATAAGAGTTTCGTTTTTAACTTTTCCTATGATACAGGATATAAAAGAATTGCATTTCTTTGAAATGAAATTCTACATTTAATAGAAGTAAGTGTGTCTTTTGCCTGTTTCTATCTATCAATAAGAAATCAAATAAAATATAATGCTAATTGGAAACATCGAGTGTAGACATAAAAATAATTAACAATTAAACTTTTCAATTCGGTTGGAGCATTATTTATAAACATAACCTACAAGTTATTGGAATACAACCAGATCTCACAAGTGAACTTTTGACTTTTGAATCAAGTAATCGATTGAACGAGAAAAAAAATTTTAAGCCCGATCAAAACATTTATTTTAAATGAGTTTACAAATTATATAGAATTGATGCTTTGGTTGAATATATTGGTGCATATGAAATATGATAAATTACATGTTGAATATATCAACTTAACGTGAGATTTGCATTTTAAAAGATGCCTGTAGTATGACGCAAACATTTCCTCGAAAAAGGATTAAAATCGGCGACAGTTGCAACTTTAACACCATTTTCAAAAAATTTTGAAAATGATGTGAAATACACTAATTAATTAAAAACACTACTTTTTCAGCTTTTTAATATAACTTAAATTATTTGATAATTAAAATGAAAACCTTCAACGAAAAGGTTCCCTAGTAAAGTAGTTTTATGGAAAAAGTGGATTCGAAATATATTTAATAACTTAAATAAGCAAATAGAAAGATATTTATCAACTACATTTAATATTTTGGGTTCTCATTTTCATTTCATAGTTTTAACTATCTATCAGGCCATCAAGCTCTGAGAGCAAATTGAAAATAAATTCTAAATTTATATGGAGTTTAAATGGAAGCGGTGCCGGAATTTATTTGTGTGAAGGAAATCGATAAATATCTTTGGCTCTATTGATTCTACATATTTTTTTTTAAATTTAAAATTTAAATTGAAAAAAAATCTGTTTGTTAATTTCACCTGAAAAATGCATTTAAAAAAAATAGCAATTTTCAGAGCAGACAACCTTTCTTCTCTCCCAAACTTATACATACTTTGTATATATATTTTTCTTTATTCCTTTCTGTATTAATATTACACAATACAAATTAAATTGAACGACATACTAAATAATGCAATACTTATAAAAACGAACGACATCCTCCAATAGGTAATATTGATAAAAGCAAATGAGAAGTAAAATAAATGAAATACTATACACACAAAAGCGACCGAATCAGTTGCCAATATAAATACAATACTAGTAGAATTGAGCGATATAATAAATCCAGTATATACTTACCTGAAGTAAATGAAATTTTATTTATACAAATACGAATCAATTGCCTTACCAATATATGTAATATACAATACAAATAGAAGTATTGTATAAAACGAGACATGAAATATAAATGGAATCCAATACAAATAAAATCGAACAATATACTAAATAACCTATGGCTAAACTAATGTCTTTATATCTAACAAGTCCCAATACTCAATTTTTTTTACGAAATATTACGAATTTTTGGCTTCGTTGCTGGTTTTTTCTTTAAATGCCACTGATCGTGTCATATTTTTTATTATTTTTTTTCTTTTTTTTTAAGTAAAAAAGAGTTTAATATTTTAAAAAATCTCAGGATATTATACACATTTTTTAAAAAGCTTCCCATAAAAATTCTGTTGCACGAAAAAGAAAGAAAGGTAGGAGGGAAGATAAAATGAAAAAAAATTTGAAATTCATAATTCAGTATGGTTTCAAATGTTAATGAGGAAGGATGTATGATTTTTTATGCACATTTTGTATTTCCCAATAAGGTAAGTTGAGTAGTGTCGGCTAACAAAAATGTTATTAAAAGTAATATTGGTTGACACATTTCAACAATTTTAATTATCTCATTTCGGTTATTTATACGTTACTTATAAAATTGTTTCAAATAATTTCAGTTAGTTTTTAAGTTATTAATAATAAATATGTATGTACCTACTTCCAATAATTGTTTTTTTAAATAATTATTTTAAAACTATTTCAAACATGTTATATTGAGTGCTTCAAAAATTTTGCTGTGCTCTTTTTTCATATTTTATTAGCAGGTAAACAAGAGCAATCTATTTATAAAATGTCCCTGCATGTGTATGTATGACCTATATTAATTCTAAACGGAAAGAATATTACATAAAGAACAAAAATTTTAAAATACCTGTTATTTTACAGTCGGAATTTTTGAGTCATTTGGTAAAATACCATTTAGTTCAAAAATAAAAAAAATATTCAAATCCGGTCATAAAAATATATGAGTGTTTTTTCCAAACATTTCAAATATTTTTTTAAGTGATAGTAAGTTTTTAATATTTTTTCAAATAAAAATAAAGGTAAAATTTTGAAGTTTATATAAAATTTGTATTTAACAAATAGTATTTGATTGTATTTTAGATATTATTTTCTAATTCCCTCTTCAAATTTTTTCTTTACTATGTATTTATATCAATATTCTATAATTATCTTTCAAGAATTATATTTTTAACTTGACACCGAAGTTACTCCCCATATCTTGAGTTAACTTACCCTATGAGAAAAAAAAGCTGTTCACTAAAAAATAATGAAATGCTTTCAGTAACATATAAAACGTTGAAGGCGAAGGATGTGCTTGTTGTTTTTCCGCTTTTTTTTTAAATTTTAAAATAATTATCAATGAAAATATTAATATATTTTTTTGATTTTTCAAATATATTTTCTAAATTTTACCTGCTTTATAATAAGTGTGAATTTATTTTAATATTTCTTCTCAAAAAATAGCCACTTCGATTTAAAAAAATCCATATAAAATAAGGTCGTGCTTTCAAGCTTCTCTCTGAGCATTGGGACTTGTTAGATATAAAGACATTAGCTGAACTAATGTCTTTATATCTAACAAGTCCCAATACTCAATTTTTTTTACGAAATGTTACGAATTTTTGGCCTCGTTGTTGGTTTTTTCTTTAAATGCCACTGATCGTGTCATATTTTTTATTATTTTTTTCTTTTTTTTTACGTAAAAAAGAGATTAATATTTTAAAAAATCTCAGGATATTATACACATTTTTTAAAAAGCTTCCCATTTAAATTCTATTGCACGAAAAAGAAAGAAAGGTAGGAGGAAAGAAAAAATGAAAAAAAAATTCAAATTCATATTTCAGTATGGTTTCAAATGTTAATGAGGAAGGATGTATGATTTTTTATGCACATTTTGTATTTCCCAATAAGGTAAGTTGAGTAGTGTCGGCTAACAAAAATGTTATTAAAAGTAATATAGGTTGACACATTTCAACAATTTGAATTATCTCATTTCGATTATTCATACGTTACTTATAAAATTGTTTCAAATAATTTCAGTTAGTTTTTAAGTTATTAAAAATAAATATGTATGTACCTACTTCCAATAAATTTTTTTTTAAATAATTATTTTAAAACTATTTCAAACATGTTATATTGAGTGCTTCAAAAATTTTGCTGTGCTCT